GGTTATGACCTTGACAATACATGTCAAGGTCAAGATCATCGGAGCTGTTTCAATATTTACTGTTTAAATATTCTAAATATTATCTTTAGATTTTAAATATTTTAATTTACATCAGATACTAATCTTGTTTCACCATTATAAAAATAACGGAATTGTAACGAGCCGTTATTTTTTTAAGTAATGATAATTATAACAAGTTACTTTTGAGAATCAATAACTAGTAACGGTAGCGTTAGTTACTTTTTTTGACTCGGTAACGAATAACGGTAAATTAATTACACTGTTGGAAAAAATGTGTCGAATGTATAATAATATAATCCGCATGTCGTAAACGGTCCAGTCAAATTTTTGGGTTAATTCAATACAAGATGAATATGTTAGAAAGTTACACAAATTTATGTAAGAGAATAGATACAAAAAAGGTAATGTCGACATAGTTTGGAAATAAATCGTAAAGGTATTTTTTTTTTTCAAAAAATTAATATTTATGATATATTAAATTAACACATATTTTATTTATTTGTCTTATTATGAGAATTCACTTTTTAAAACACATTGGCCGTGTTCCAAAATTGATTGCCAGTACTGAAAATCTATAGTGCACGTAACGTAAACTGTAGCACTTTTAGTGCTGGCAGTAAATTTGGAACACGGTTATTATTTTTATGTTACTTGTTCACTTATACATTGTACCATTATTATACATTAAAAAACGTTGAATATCAATTTTACACAAAATCTTTAAATAATAATCTCATAATGTTAAATTAACACTTGAATATGTTACAAAATTCAACACAAACCGTTAACACAGAACATGAGTGAACCGTTTCCATCACAAATACACAATTTTTTTACTGTGTATTTTCAAAAAGTATTTTCCAATTCTTGGTAAAAGCAGTTTATACTTGTGTTAAAATCGGTGTTGAATTTTAACATAACTAAATTTTAACATATTTAAATGTTAATTTAATATAAAATTGTTATTTGAATATTTTACGTTAAATTGATATTTATTTCTTATTGTCAAAACAACACAATTTATAAATGAACAAATTATATAAAAATAGAAAATATTTTAAAACGAAAATTTTCATAAGATAAATAAACAAAATATGTTTTAATTTAACACATTAAAATGTTAATTTTACTAAAAAAATATACTTTTAAATTGTGTCAATGTTATATTTTTTTACATTAATTTCTTACATAATATACGTTACTATCTTACGTTAATTTCTTACACAATTTGCGTTACTATATCAAATATATTTATCTATGTTAAATTAACATAAAAATTTGAGTAGACCGTTTGTGAAATGTGTTGAACTTAATATAAGTTTTCTCTAACTCTGTGTATTAATCGCGTTAGGCATACGGAGAGAATTTTCTTTTAAAATTTACCCTGAAAATATGACAGTCGTGGGACAACATTGTATTTCGAAGATTTTTACCATGCACTTCAGTAAAATTGATCAAACTTATTTTAAACTTTATTGTAGTTTTATTAATGAATGAGAGGGATTTATGTTAAAATTCTTCAAAATACAATGTTGTCCCACGACTGTCATGTTTTCAGGGTAAATTCTAAGAAAAAATTCTCTCCGTGCACCGCAATAGATATGGGAATACGTCTCTTACAAGACGGCGGGGCATACGGACGAGGGTGAACTTATTCTTATCCGCCTGGCATCTTCTCGGATTTAAGTGTTGCGCCATAAAATCCGTGCGATAGGTTCATTTCGAGAGCGGCATCGATTAAATGCGCCGGTTATCAGGAGGTTTACGAAATTAGTTTGCCGCAAACTCCGAGGTGGGTGTCAGGTAGCTGACGGTAACTTCCGCTGCTTCGAATACGTAGCAGTTTCTCTCTTCATCCCGCTTTTACGAAGGAAGCGATACTATCGCGTACATTATCCTATCGCGCGCGAAAGCGTCATTCCCGATGCATTAACCATCACATATATAGTTTCTTTGAGTCACGACTTGTTACATGGGGCTTGTCTTACCTAATAAAGCAGAAACACTATACGGAAGTATGGAACTACAGTTCTGAGTCTACGTTTCGCTCTTGCGATCGCTCGAAAAGTTTTGTACTGCGCTTTGGTTTTTGTTAATTCTTCGCACCAGGTCTAAAGAAACTGTCACTTTTTTGTGGTCGTTCAGGGATCATTTGATTTCTAAACGTTTAAAGAACACATATATATATATATATTTTTTTGTTATAGAAACCGAAAATTATAATAATTACTTCATACTCAAGGAAAAATTAGTACATTAAAATAAAGAATAAAATCTCCTTATTTGAACGTTCATTACAAAATCACTGTTAGTTATAATTTAATCATGTAAAAATTAATTCAGAGTTGTTGATCCAACTGTAAATGCATCTGATCAGTCAATGCGTTTCCCACATAAATATCTGAGCGTGATGGTGAGATGCGCCCTTGGAACATATATAAATGAAAGAGGAATTGAGTTCTGAAACTAAAGTCAACGTTTGTGCGAGAGAAAAAGCTATAAAGTCCCAATTGATTGTAATGCGCATATGCCACTCAGCTCATTTTCTTTTGTACCACTTCATTTTACTTTGTTGTTAATATGTGAGAAACCTTAAAACAACTGTATAGTTCACACACACGACGATTTGGGCATGCGCATTGCGAACATTTAGGATTTTCTAGCTTTCTCTCTCACACAAAGGTTGATTTCAGGCTCAATGCATGGGCAGCATAGGCAATTCTCCTTTCATTTATACATATTGATATTTTCTAAGGATGCGCAGTTCCTGTTCATCTTTTGTACGCAGCCCGTGATATGCTAACTGTTTCTTCTTATAATTTAAAAACTAAAGATTTATTCGCATCGCTTTCTAAATACTTCAATATACAATAGGAAATAAATGTCTTTAACGGCCTGGCTAAATATTAGGTACTCTTGTATAATTTTATGTGAATTTATGTACTACATATGTAGTTCTTTAAATTGCGCGCCGAAATGATTTTTCTATCTTAAAACGCAAACTCTACTAAACTACCGCAGTAATATCACGAGTTAAATAAACGAACCCGAATCTCTAGCATTCCGTATAATATTTTTATTTCGCAATAAAAATTAATTGTTTGCAGATTTTAATATCATTCAGCATTAAGATTATTCTAAGATGCGTAAGTGCATCGAATTGTTAAATTGCTAGTCAATTGCTAGTCACTTACGCATCTTAGAATGATCTTAATAATGCTGAATGATTATTAAAATCCGTAAATAATTAATTCTTATTGCGAAATAAAAATATTATACGGAATGCTAGAGATTCGGATTCGTTTCCCGGTTGAGATAATATTTTTCGTTAGGTGGAAACATTAAACCGCTTACGGAAAAAAATTTTTCAAAATTTATACGATTGAAGTATGTTGGAACAAAATTTTTCCTTATCCTTTAAAAACTTTCTTCGATAAAGTCGATTTTAAAGTATGTCTCTTATTTAATTATATACACGTTTATATATAATTTACCTTATTTTTGTCTAAATAATTTAAAGTTATCTAAGTGGGGCATTGTAAATGTATAGAAATCTTGTGTTATTAATTATGAGTATCCTATTTCCTCGAACTTAAAATTTACATATCCGTAGTAACACTGTATCACTGAATACCAATAGCATCTTACAATTAGTGTTATTAAGAATACGAAATAATCACAACTTCATAATCCGGCAGATGATAGCGTATCTTTTCGTTACACACTGTTTCTCAGAGATTAGTGAAACGAACGGACAATATTGCTGACGTTTTATTTTCGAAAATGCATGGAGCCGTTCTTGATATTAAGATGGAATCACACGATGCTCGATTTCTTGAATGATAAGCATGCACACATGCATGCTGCTGTGCTTGGTTTGATGTATATAGTCTGACGTTTGACAAATAGCTATGAAACTAGCAATTATTTCTTTTGATTGGTGCATGCACTATGAAGTAATCCATAATATAATCCATAAATATAATATAAAAATCACGTATATGCAGCATGTAGTGCTATAAATGTATGAATGAATTCTAGCACACATCAGAGCAGGCATGATTGTATACATGCTATTATTCAAGAAATCGAGCATCGTGTGATTCCACCTTTAGCATGTGTATGTAATATCACTGATATGTATAGCAATGTAAAACGACGCAAAGTTAGGAGCATTATCATCGTTAAAATATGTGACCTGCATCATAGAATTGTGCGAATTGTATGTACAACGCAATGCGCGTAACTTCGGCGACGAAACGAATACAAATAGAATGATAGCGATAATATCGCTTCATGGCCATGCCTCGCAATCGATACCTTCATGATTTAATGAATGTCGGTATACCGGTAACGGGTGTTTTACGATAATATTATACAGTTCGTACCGTTGCGGTCCCACGCTGTACCATTGTCTGAATCGGTGGAACTAGACTTCCTTACCTGGCTATTGCGATGAGCATTACTCTCCTCTAAACAATACACGTCGTTCGGCTAGATATTAATTGCGGATTGCCTCGCGGTTAGCACCGAGAAAATATCCGGTTGCGCACAATGGACCGTAACTTTGGACACGAATCATCCGATTTCGGAAATGTATTTTTAACTTCGCGTACTTTCTGAACAGTTTCGCACAGTTTCCATAATAGAGGAAATGCGAGAACTCCTATATATCGATGACATATCCGTTCCCTCTTGAAGAGCGCATAGAAATACCGTCGTCAGTTGTACATCACTGATATTTTACTTTCATTGTTTATTTATTAATTATTTACGAATATTTATTTACAAATATTTAAAGAAAGAAAATGAATGATAGCTGTCGACTGTATATTTTTATTGAATTAACGATATTCGATCAGTTTAATTTTTGATCTAAGAGTCAAGTCATGTGTGCACGAAAGTCACATACTCTCAGGTTGTTACAATAACAAGATTTATTGCTTTTGCGGCGATCTAATCCAACGGTACCTATACAGGATTCTCTTATCTGGCGGATACTGGCTTCCCTCGACAAGTAAGAAGATTATCTTTGGAGCTTTCCTCCGGAAAGCTCTCGTTAGGTAAGATGCGATATCATGGTAATTATAGAAGCGTAGCTTCAATAAGAACCATACGAGCATGCCGATGTGGATACTAACTTTTTGCTCTTCTCATAGTAGGTTTTCTACATAATGGAATCATAATTGCCATTGCTTATCGCAATATCATAATTATTATCGCTTTCTCATTATTCATAATTATGACAATGCGTAATTAGCGGCGCGATGTAATTTTCATTTGCTTTTAAAGCGCTTAAAAAGTCGCAGGTGCAGGAATATGGTAAGGCTAAAAATTATTATGTCGAGGTACTCTCGAAAATAACTCTTAAGGCTGAATTCGTCCCATTCGTGATTTCGGCAGGAATAAAAATATCACGAAACTCAGGAGAACAGGTGCAATTTTTCGTCTGGCGTTCAAGGCAAGCCGGTTGCCACCTGTTTCAATACGATCCCTACTTGAAGAGCTCTTGAAAAATATATTCGTTCTTAACTTTGGGTTTATAAGATTGAACATTATCTCATCAACTGGGTCAGTTTTATTTATAGTAATCTTAGAAATGGAAAATGTTATTACAGTTACTACACGAGAGTGAAAAATATTACTATATATAAATATTATAATACTATAGTAGTAATAATCATAAAAATGAAACTCATAGCCATATTTATTTTACCATGCAATTATAGTCACTTATACACTATCTGTAGTGATCATATTATCTCAATAATAACAAAATTTCAAAACTGAAATGAAATGAAAACTTTTTAAACAAGTCTTTAGAAGTAGAAGATCTGTGTAGAAAATAAATATTTACATAAAATAAATTTTAAGTAATAATAAATGCTTTTTACAACTTAATTTCGGTTACGTCGCTGAAACTCCCTTTCAATTTTATTGGCTAAAATCGAAATCTAACCGAAACTTCAATTTTTAGCCGAAACTGGCCGTAATCGAAACCGAAATCAAATTTTCAGTCGAACTCTATCTGACAGTCTGTACAGTGCCTGTGTAACATGTGCGATATAATCTCTGCCGTGAGAGCTGAATATATGTCTTACGCAATAGTTATTCTATCAGAGTAACATGATATCGATAGCTAAATTTAATTACTCTAAAATGAAATATGAGAAATATATCTGAAATAATATTGAAGGTATTAAACCTAGGATTCTATTTAATTTCCCTTCAAGCAAGTAACCCGAGATATTTCGTACCTGATTATTTCACAGGGAGGGAAGGAGATTGAATGTCGATAAGCAAGATAATATTTCTCCTGAGGTACAACTACCCATTTGACTTGACAATTATCTTTTCTGTTAAGCTCCTCTTTTTGCGAATCTCTTATCACATTTTAAATTTCTTTACATGGTACAATTTTTCGCATTACATGAGGATATCGTCGAAAATCGAGAACAGCAGTTCTGTGATGATTTGAATAACAAAACATGATACATTTCCGTATCTTTTTTATCATGTTACAGACGATCGTCTCATTACTTTCCTTAATTAATTGCATATATGTGTATAAAATGACCCGTTTAACTCGTTCAGAGATAATCGAGCTTCACACTGCTGCAAAGTCTTTGAAGTCGCTTGCACTTGATTTACAGCTTCCTCCTGCACGGACCGTGCACCAGCAGCAACGGCAGCCGCAGTAGCGTCGGCAGTACCAGCAGCAATTCAGAGCACGGTGAATTGTGCTGAGCTCATGCTGGCAAGACGACGTACGAGTGATTTGCATGCGAGCTCACAACCCGTGGGAGGAACGGGCATAATTTGGCAGGTAGGTAAGCCGTTCGCTCGATCGGTGTGTCGCTTGTGACGTTTGGTCAACGGCAATTAACGGATCCCGTACAATCCGTGTCTGTCGAATTGTGGTGGCGAACGACGCCAGTAGAGTGAGGTTGCTTCAATGAGAGAGCGACCAGGTGCGACGGCGCGGGCGCTCTTAGGGAATTACCATGTACGCGCTGTTCCAAAGATTTGTGCGATACGGAGATAGAGCATGATTCAATTATGTATATACTTATATATATATATGTATATGTAATATATTTTATATATATATGTATATATATATATAATATTTAACTTAATTGAAAATTTCGTTGTGAAATTCAATGAGCATAATCAGTAAAGAATTTCAAGTGAAAGATTTAAAATTCAATTTGAGTTTTAATTATGACGACACTATAATATAGAAAATTGAGGAGTTAATTAAAAGTACTAAGTTGTATAAATAAAAGTACTCGTTACATTTTCGAGAAGTGGCTGTTAAATTTTAATTTAATTTCACAAACGAATAAAGCTCATTTGTGAGATTTACAATTTCGTGTGTAGAGCTACGTGCGAACGACGCAGCGATGGAGCGTTTGTGACAAAGCATGTAGCTTTGTGGAAATGCAATAGTTTGCAACAGAATTTCATCGAATACTGAATAAATACATTTCCTTAACCGCAAAATGTATAGCTTGTCGATGGCGAAAATCAAAATTAATTAAAGCTCTTAATTAATTTAATGCATGGCAAACGAATGGCGCATTTTCATAATTTGTTGCTCATCAAACGTGCCCCAGCGCTACATATCGTCCAATTTGTGCATCATTAGTATGCTTACTCTATAACTCTATATCATACAAATAACATATCGATAATATTACGTCCCAAACAATAATACCTCACGACAAATGTAGAGAACTGCATTACTTCCGATAAACTCTGTCACACATTTAATCGCGAATTACGTGATAAATGTTAATTATGTAATACAATCTCGATAACGATCTAAGAATCAATATATGTGGTAATGCATGTAAAAGTGTGTACAGAAAAAATAATTTTACTCAAATATGAAAATTTAGCTTATATAAATATAGATCTGAGTATCAATCATGAAATTTTTTTCCTAGGATGAAAAGTGAAAAGTGAACAATTTTTCCATTAACTTCAATGGTTAAAATTTTCACTTTTCATTTTCCATTCTAGGGATAAAGTTTCATGATTAATACCTTGAAAATAATTTTGTTGAACCATCAAAATACGAGGATCGTTTGATAAGTTTGGAAAATTTCGAAAATTGAAATGGTGTTATAATACATTCGACGGTGACGCCTATAGAAATTTCCGCTCTTCAAATTCCTCCAGGCCAAATTTTAGCCAGAAATGACGCATTGTTCACGCTTGGTAGTACTTTGAAGCAAGCGATTTAGCAGTTGTCACAAAAATGGAAAAAAAACCGAATTCTATGCGTTAACACGAATTGGGTTTCGAATTGATTCCTCGCCCATCCAGTCTGTTCTTCAGATTTGGCTCTGTGTGACTTCTTCCTGTTCCCAAATTTGGACTCAATTTGTGTAAATTGCATAGAATTTGTTTTTTCCATTTTTATAGCAACAGTTAAACCGCTCGCTTCAAACGAGTACCAAATGTGAACAATGCATCATTTCTGGCTGATATTTGGCCTGGAAGAGTTTGAAGAGTGAAACTTTTCGGGCGACACATTACCAAATGGATGGATTGTGTCATTTCATGGAAATTTATTAAAACTTATCAAACGACCTTCGTAATTATGTATGGACGCTTAACCTCATTGCTAGAATAAATATCAAAACTTTTTGCAGTATTGCTCATTATTTTTTGTTTGGGTTTCCTATATAATTATTTTGATATCTTTGATGCTTATCCAATAACATTATTTTTAGATCTACATATACCTAAACATTTTAGACACTTCAGTAAAATTTTTCTTGTGTGCATGGTGTGCGCGAGATTCATTTCTTCTTTTTGTCTTATATTTTTTTTCTTATATAGTTAGAGAAGTGTTAAATGTCCAGAAACGATCTGTTCGATAATTGATCGCCGTAATTGATCTGATAATAATTATATTAGAGAGTTCGTAATTGAATTCTTTATAATTCGACTCGTGCATATATCCGCATTTATAAACGCGATCTTTTTACAATCATGATATGCGTTTATACAAATACGCGTATTAACGTCACCAAGGGACTTAACAGATGTATCTTCTGATGGAGCTTCGTTGAACAGACGCCGGATGCGCGGATCATCAGCGTCGTGAACAACCGACTCGATTAAGTTCGTGAAATTGGAGAATTCGTATGCGATCTCTTAATGACTCTCATGAGTTTCGACGTCGTTGAATGCCGGTGGAAACGGTGCGCGTTACATTACGTGGGCAGGATCGCGCGGCTTTGGGAAACTGGATCTCGAATTCGACGCTGTCGCGTTCAATGCACTTCGCGCGCTCGAGAAGCGTCACCGTTTCTAACATCTAGACAGTCAGCATCCGTCTCAGATATAAATTCAGGTGAAACCTCTTTCACAGCGACGTTCGATATCAATGACGGGGAAACACATCTAGATCGAGTATTCCTGCCATTGTTCGCTCTGTTCTTGGGTATCGTATCGCTCTGTGCTTTTCTGTCGAAGTCTACCAGCTTACCGTTACCTGAAACAAGACTGACAATGACGACGAGGAGGGCTACGATTACGACAGCGACGACGACGACGACAACGACGACCACGACAACGTCGACGTCGACGACGAAGATGATGACGACAGCTAGGTTCCATTTAATTAAGTTTGCATTGTACTAAACTGCACGCTGTGGCGAAAGATCCTTATCAAAGCCTTGCAAGATATGACGACGGTTGTGAGTTGGTGCGCTTATCAGAGGCGATCTGTTCGAGCAAATGAACGAACAGCCATTTACGTTCGGAGATTCACTCCTAACGAGATCGAGGAGTCTATCGACAGTACTCCTCCTTCTGGTATCTAAGGAACATACGTAGGTACACTGTACATAGGTATGCCAACTTCTACTTCCGTCCGAAGCTGATTTCGATCACTCGGAAAGACAATAATTAGAAATCTCAGGAGTTACTTAACTTTCGAAATAGAATATTATGTATATGTGTGAGTATAACACAACTTGACGATTTTATTAGAGGAAAGTAAAGTGACATAGATCTCCTAAAGAAACAAGCAAGATAAATAAAATAATGCTCCTTCCGTACTCCTTAAAATCGATACAAAATACTCCTTAAAATCGATACAATAGAAATTTAAATGCAGCTGTTTAAAAAGTTTATTCCAAATATGATCGATTATTCTGCTGTAATAGATTCTGCCACTTTATCATCTCACTGAGCGAAATGTCGATCGCACCATGAAGTTATCGATGAGTAATTAGTTATCATTTGATAAAAATTAAAGAAAAATTTTATCATGTTGTACATGACGGTACGTAAAGTTTTGTTGATTCGGGATCTCGATAATCCTGCGATTTCAGCATTTTCATCTGTACGTTAAATCAACCGTAAACACGCTTCTGCCATTCCATTTTCACGTGATAATTGATATTGCTTATACTGCTATTGCTGTTTCAAATTATCGGAAACCGGAAAAAGGACATTCATTTAGTGCGAATCTTGTTTATATATACATACGTGCAAATCATCGAGAGCTTATGGAATATTGGCGGTATTACAACGGAATTAATATAAAAAACGGACTTATTATGTATACCTGTCTCACTTTTCTAAATTAATAAAGTTTTCGTGGCTATGTGTGTCATAATTTTGACTCTCTGAAATAAACTGATATAACGTTAATATAAAACTCCATAAATGTTGTAAAATTCTTCAAAAGTTTTCTAAATTACATACGTTACTTCTGTGGTTTGAAATTTCTTCAATATTTTAATGACGGTAAGCTAAGAGGTCGCTCAAAGTCGCCGGTTTAGAAGACGTGTTCGTGATTTAAGGATTGACCATTTCACAGACTTAGAAAATAATAATTTTCGCTTTTTGTAGGTTTATTATCTACATCGTTTGTCGACTTGTCACAGAAATCGCTAATAACAATCCAATTTAGATACTTATGTGACTTCCTACTCGTTCGCAGTTTACAACTTTCTTTCAGCATTAAAGTTTTTACTCTTATATTATTTATCGGACTTGCTTGTAATATCCGGTTGTACTTGTTTCTGACCTATCACGTTATGATAAATGGCACGCTCAACGCTTAGATTTGCAGGTGATTTTCTCGCTATACGCGCCGGTAGCTATACCCGTTCTTTATCGTGTCGACGCTACATATTATTAAATCATCGATGTACACGTCGAGGTTGCAAGAATTTTTCTCTTTGTAGGAATATCAAACATTTGAATATCTCCTTTCCTAGTGCTTATGATCTAGATCTTAGTGATCTAAATAATTTTCTAAATTTAAAGTTTCTCTTTTTCGAATTGTTTGAAGTCGTTTTACTCTGTTTTATTTTCAAGTTACGTACCGTACGGAAAGGTGGTTAAAGTTAAAAGAATTTCCGCTCGTTTATTTTTATTGCGCTTAGTCTGGGGATTCGAGATAATTATTTTGCTGGTGATGATGAAATGTTTCCATGCTGTTTTAATAAGCTGTATCATGTCCAATGAAACCAGAAGCTTTAGCGTATAACAGATAATAGCAATGCAGCCGCAACGATAGCAGGGGAAAATGATTCAGGGACTCTTCTCCTTCTGGGAAATCCGTGGAATGTTTAATAGTCGCGTGAATTCACAGCGTCTCGGGTTGTATCGCTAATGAATTATCCGGTTACAGCGGGTCGCGGCTCTCCGAGG